CCTCATCAACAAAATAAGATTGCCAACCACAGCTGCTTCCGGTTCCTGGGACGAACCCCGTTAGGGGAACGCAGTCCCTAACTTAAACTGCTGTATGGATGCTGAGTACTTTCATGCCAGTGAGCTCTGTGATTCATCTCACTAGAGTGACACTCCATGAAGGCAAGAGCTGATGTTTTCCTCGTTTATCACTGTATCCTTGGTGTCTAGCTCAGAGCCTGGCTTATCTCAGGCTCTCCAAGGCTGTGCTGAAGAATGGGACAAACGGCTTTGTGAATAAATGAATGGACTCACTCAGCAGGGTAGCTAGCTCTGACTTGGGCGATGGGGGCCGGCAGAGTGGGAGGGGGCAGGGAGCAGGGCTGGAGTGCTCTCTGGGCTTCCCAGGCCCTGGCCTTCCTCCTCTCCTCATTGCCAAGCCCAGGCGAAGGGAGGGCTGGCTGCAGCCCGAGGCTTCAGGCTTGTTTATCAACAACACAGTTGTGGGTCACCACACAGTCAGCAGCATCTGATGCAGCTAAATATATCTTCTCGGACCACACAGCCAGCTCCTAAAGGCCACACGGACCACAGACCACACTGCTCATTCTTCTGGGTTGGGCCCTGGGCTTTGTCCTGACCCCAGAACCTGTTGTCCCCAGAGAGCAAATAGCCAATCCAGGTCCCATCTAAACTGGAGTGGCCGGCTGAGTCCATGTGGATAGTTTCCTCTTGGACAGAGTCAGAATTTGAAAGGGCAGGAACTCTGTCCTGCTGTGGGAGAGCAGAATGGTTCAACTCCTTTTGCCCCGGGTTTGTTTATGAAGAGTATTCATTAATTTTGAGATGACATCTTACTTTTAAAAACTATTTATTTTTATTTTACGTGCATGAGTGGATTATTTAAAGATCTATTTATTATTACTTTTATTTTGTTTGTGGCGTTCCGCCTGCAATCTGTGTATCATGTATGTGCAGTGTCCGTGGAGGCCAGAAGAAAGTATCAGGGCCCAGGCAGTTGTGAGCCACCATGTAGGTAGGTGCTGGGAATTGAATTCAGGTCCTCTGTAAGAACAACCAGTGCTCTTAATCGATGAGCCACCTCTCTGGCCCTGTTATTTTATTTTTGAGGCAGGGTCTCATGTAACTCAGCTTGGTCTTGATTTTACTACGGAGCCTAGGGTGACCCTGAACTTCTGATGCTCCTGCCTCTACTCCCAAAGTACTGAAATTATAGGTTGTTGCACACCATACCTAGTTTTGTTTTGTTTTGTTTTTGTTTTTTTGAGACAGGCTTTCTCTGTGTAGCTTTGGTGCCTTTCCTGGAACTCACTCTGTAGACCAGGCTGGCCTCAAACTCACAGAGATCCGCCTGGCTCTGCCTCCCGAGTGCTGGGATTAAAGGTGTGTGCCACCACCACCCAGCTCATACCTAGTTTTATGTGGTGCTAGGGATGAACTCCAGGGCTTCAAGCATGCTAGGTAAGAACTTTACCAACTAAACCATATCCCTTGGCTGACATATTATTACTATATACTGTTAAGTAGAATTTAAGAGCACTCACTGGCTGCTCTTCTAGAGGACCGCTTGTGTTCCCAGTACCCATGTGGCAACTCACAGTTGTCAGTAATTCTAGTTCCAGGGGATCCGACACCCTCTTCTGGCCTATAAAGGCACCAGGCAAATGTGATACATTTCAGTACATTCAGGTAAAACACCTGAACACATAAAATTGTAAGAAAAAAGATCCTTTCTTTTTTTTTAAATATTTATTTATTTTATGTATGCGAGTGACCTGTCTTCATGCACACCAGAAGAGGGGATCAGATCCCATAACAGATGGTTGTGAGCCACCATGTGGTTGCTGGGAATTGAACTCACGACCTCTGGAAGGGCAGCCAGTGCTCTTAACCACTGAGCCATTTCTCCAGCCCAATCCTTTCTTTTTTTAAAGGTGTGTGTGTGTGTGTGTGTGTGTGTGTGTGTGTGTGTGTGTGTGTGTGCGCGCGCGCGCGCGCTTTGAGGTCTCTTGCCCAGTGTCTCAGTTTACTTCCTGTTGCCTGCAGTTCAAGATGTAGGACTCTCAGCTCCTTCTCCAGCACTATGTTGCACCATGATGATAATGGATTAAACCTCTGAACTATAAGCCACTCCAATTAAATGTTTCCCTTTATAAGGGTTGCATGGTCATGGTGTCTCTTCATAGCAATAGAAAGCCTGACTAAGACAAGTCCATTATCTTCATGGCAAGAAGCATGCCGGCAGGCAGACATGATGCTGGAGACGGAGCTGAGAGTTCTACACCTGGATCTGCAGGCAGCAGAAGGAGACTCTTACACAAGGCGTGGCTTGAGCATAGGAGACCTCAAAGCTCCACAGTGACACCTCCTCCAGCAAGGCCACACCTCCTAATAGTGCCACTCCCTATGGGCCAGGCATTCAGACACAGGTGTCTATGGGCCACTCCTGTTCAAACCACCACATTCCACTTGCTGGCCCCCATAGGTTTGTGGTCATAACACAAGGCAGAAGTGCATTCAAAGTCCCATAGTCTATCACAGTCTCAAACTTATTTAAAAGTCTGAAGTTCAAAGTCTCTTCTGAGATTCATGCAATCTCTTAACTGTAATCACCTGTAAAATCAAAATAAAAAAGCAGATCACATACTTCAACATATAATGGTACAATTGGAATTACTGTTCTAAAAGGGATGAAAGGGAATGTATCGAGGAAATCCTGGACCAAAGCAAGACTGAAAACCAGCTGGGCAAACTCCAAACTCTGCATCTGATGTCTGATGTCAAGATGCTCTTCAGATCTCCAGCTCCTTTCAGCTTTGTTGACTGCAGCACACACACTTGCTTTTCGTGGGCTGGTCCCACTCCCTGTTAGCAGCTTTTCTCAGCAGGTGTTCCACGACTCTGGCATCTCCAACATTTTTTGAGGTCTCCAAGGCAATCAAAGCTTCACCTTACACAGCTTCATACAGTGGCCTCTTTGGACCTCCATGCAGGGACACCCCTGACACACACCTGGCCTCAGCAGCTTTCCTTAGTCACAGAGTTAGATTCCATAGCCCCTTTCTTCTATCCTTAACTCTAAAGCCAGAACCATGTGGCTGAAGTGCCAAGTCCTGCTGCTTGCTAGGGCTGGAACCTGACCCCCTCGTTCAATTACATCTTCACCAGCTTTCTGTTTTCAATGGTTTTCTTCACTGCCTAAGCTTGACTATTCTGGAACTTGTTTTGCTTCAGACTCAGAGATCTGCTTGCTTCTGTCTCCTGAGTACTGGGATTAAAGGTATTTACCAACATGTCTGGACCTAAGCTATTCTTTAATTCCTTTTCACAAGTTGAAAACCTACCTGGCTGGTGGCTTGCCCTGAGGATACCACTACCTTTATTCTGTTTAATATCATGCTTTTCTTTAATCTGTTTATCTCCTTGAACATGGGATTTAGCTCCATTCCACTTCCTGGTGTCCCTTTTCTCCTCAAATTGTACATTTTGTATTTTTCCTTCTCAACTGTCTGCATAAGAGTGACTATTAATAACCATACAACATAGTCAATACTAGGCTCTTTTGAGATTTATTTTGCCAATGGAGTTAATCCAAAACTCTTCAAATTTAACCTCAGGCAAACTTTTTGGACAAGGGCAAAAGGCAGCCACATTCTTTGTCAAAATATCAGAAGAACAGTCTCTAAGCCATATACTAACATTCTTCTCTGAAACCTCTTGAGCCAGGCCCCCACAGTTCAATCACCCTCACACCACTGTCTCCCAGGTTTCTACTGGTGTGGCCCATTAAGTAGCACTTGAAGCATTCCACTGCTTTTCTAATCCAAAATCCCAAAGTCCACATTCCTCCAAACAAAAGCATGGTCAGGCCTCTCCTAGCCATTCCCCAGTCCCTGGAACAAACTTTTTGTTTTAGTTTGGGTTTCTATTGCTGTGAAGAGACACCATGACCACAGCATTCTTATAAAGGAAAAACATTTAATGGGGACTCACTTACAGTTCAGTGGTTTAGTCCATCATCATCATGGCGGGACATGGTGGTATGCAGGCAGACTTGTGCTGGAGGAGGAGCTGAGAGTGTTACATCTGGGTCGGCAGGCAGCAGGAGACTGCCACATGAAGCCTCAGTCTGCCTTCCCAGGGACACACTTCACTCTCTGTGGACAAGGCACAAACGCAAGTCTATGGGGCCATTCCTAGTCAACCACCACACTAAAGTAGTTTGGTTTCCAGAACTGTAATGATTTATGTAGGACCTTGTCCTCCTTGCTCTACTTGAATCCAGTGACACTTGTCACCTGACTCTCTTTTACCCACTGTGTACCTTATTTCCTCAGCTACCCCAACAGTGGTTAGTCACGGGCCCCAAAATGAAAAAAAAAAAACATCAGTCCCCTCCCCTCCCCTGCCCTGAAACTACCCCTCTCTGCTCTGTAACGACCCCAGCCTGTAAGCTCCTGCCGGCCGCCTTCTTCTTCAGATGTCATCCTGCGCATGACCTCTGCCCAACAACCCTCTTCCTTCCGCTGCTGTTCCTCACCAAACTGGCCCCAAAACTTCACCTTCCTGCCAAAGCCAAACCTTGACTGCCTCTCCCTTCAGACCTACCCACCTGTCCTTCAACTGTTCCTCTTAGACAACCCCACTCCGCTCTTCCTCTCCAAAGCTTGTCATCACTGACCACCCCACACATGTCCGCATTCCCTAAACGTTTGGAATCCTGTGTGTTTAACCCCAGCTCCCACTACGAAGAATTTCAGTGTCTTACTCAGTCCTTTGACCTGACTTTTCATGATATTATTTATGTCACTCTGACCTCCACTTTTTCTCTTGGGGATAGGAAGTATGTGCCAACACTCTTCATGCCTAGGACGAGGATCATCGCCCAGTCTGTGCCGTGGCAGGTCTATGCATGGTCACAATGGGAATTAGCAGCTCAGTTCAGATGACCTCGACAACAAGGGTCTATGACTGCATGCCTCTGGCAGCAATGGGAGAAGCTGCCTTTTGTGGTCAATTACGATAAAATCAAAGCGATGACTCGGGGAGCTGATGAGAATCTGGCCTTCATTTTTCACTTGCTGATCTGAAACTGTGATTGACAGAGAAGGGTGGAGATATCAGTGCTGATTGCTAGAACACAGCCCTAAAGGATAGAGGTTGGCTGCATGCTCCTCGGGGACCTTATAAAAACAGGTTTTAAGTCTTTAATAACAGAGAGGAGAGCTTAGACCTTGAGTATCAATGAGATCAGGCTAAAGAGCAAATACCGGAGGCAAATATGCCAGGGTTTATTGCAGACAACTCAAAGGAGTGATGTCCTCCACACTTCAGTGTGGCCTATGAAGGGCCTGCTTTAAATGCAGCCAAATGGGACGCAGGGCACGAGCCTCCCCATCTCATGGCCACAGCCTCAGCCCCGCCTCCTGTGTGGTGACCGAGGACACTGGAAATTAGGCTGTGCTCAGAGAGATGCCAGGTGCCGTCAAGAATGCGTCTGTTCTTGCCAGGTTCCAATCACTGGACTCAGGCTTGGTGAACTTGCTGGCACTAACAACTCCTGACAACGGAGGAGGCCCAGGATTTGAAGTCCCCTGCTCACCCCACCCCCTACGCCATTATTCTCACCAAACCCACGATGACACTGTAGTGGCTGGTAAAGTTTTTTCTTTTTATTTTATTATTCCAAAAAATTTATGTGTATGGTATTTTCTGCCTGCACATACATCTGTGCAGTATGTGCATGCGTGGTGCCTTTGGAGACCAGAAGAGGGAGTCAGATCCCCTGGAACTGGAGTTACAGATGATTGTGAGCTGCTCTGTGGGTGCTGGGAACTGAAAACAGGGCCTATGGAAGAGCAGCCAGTGCTCTTAAGACACTGAGCTGACTGTCTAGGCCCAGACTATTCCTTTGTTAGCCCACATGTGAGTGAATTACTTACTCAGTTTTGCCTGCGTTTGCTGGACCCTGCCCTGATCTAGGTAGAAGGAACTCCCACCTCACCTACCCAGGATGTGCCATTGCTGTTTGGCCCAGACATTTTGGGCAGCCCCTTCCCATTCCTTCCTGGTCATTCCCTGGTGTTCTTTTGTGAGATGGAACATTTTGGAAGAATTCCATGCCTCTATTATCTTCTATCACAAAGGAAGCAACTTATTTTTTATTTTTTTTTGAGACAGGGTTTCTCTGTGTAGTTTTGGTGCCTCTCCTGGATCTCGCTCTGTAGACCAGGCTGTCCTCAAACTCAGATCTGCCTGCCTCTGCCTTCCAAGTGCTGGGATTAAAGGTTTGCACCACCACTGCCCGGCATAACTTCTTATTCTCCTCATCCTTTCCCACTGAGATCTTATACCTTCCATTAGTTGTTAATCCTTGTCCATTGCTTAATTCTTTAAATTTGTAAATTTTTTTTTTGGTTTTTTGAGACAGCATTTCACTGTGTAAACCTGGCTGTCTTGGAACTCATTCTGTAGACCAGACTGGCCTCGAACTCACAGAGATCTGCCTGCCTCTGCCTCCCAAGTGCTGGGATTAAAGGTGAGCACCATCACTGCCCCACATTATTTTTATTTTGAAATTAAAATATAATTCCATCATGTCCTCCCTCGCCCTTTCTTTCTTCAGTCCCCCATGTTCTCTTCCTTGCTCCTCTGGGGATCATGGCCTTTTTGTTGTTGTTGTTATTGTTACACATATAAATACATACATGTGACCTGCTCAGTCCATTGTGTTACTTGTATGTATATGATCCTCAACCATCGTTAACCTTTGATTGTGGGATACCTTCTCCCTAACTCTTGTACCCCTAAAGTACAAGACTCCACCACTTTTGTGTGCCTGGACTGATACTCCCTTGCCCACTTCCTCCCAGCCTTAAGGGACTTGAACTTATAATTTTTAGATTCCAAGGCTCTATTAACTTTCAACTACTAGCAAAGATCCACTAGCTCTCCCAACAATACTCTTATGTTAGCAGTTCCAGAGTCGAAAGGCTTTCACCCTAGTCCGAGATCTATGCCTGAACAACCAAACTGTTGTTCCTATTCACCTGGCGGGTCCCCAACACCCTCTTACCCCATGTTTTTTCTTCCACCCCTCACTCGTCAGTCCTAGATCTCAAGTTTTTTTTTTTCCCCATCCCCCTTGACCCTTCTTGTCAAGACCTTGTCACACCTACCCGGACACCTTTGCCTAACAGCAGCCCAGGCTCTTTCACACACTTGAAATTCTCCAGATGTTCATCCGGAACCTGCTGCCTCTTCTGCTATCTCATCCTTCCAACCCTTGTTTCTTTTCAGCACCCCCCACCCAAAGGCTCTCCAGCTAAAAGAAAGGAGAGCCACCCACAGACTCCTGGGATGTTCTCAATAACCGTTTTCATTGCCTTTCTGCAATGGGAAATGGCCTCCTTTCCACCCTACACAATGCATTCCATGTGGGACATCGACCTCTGCCTACCTAAGACTTATCTCTGCTTGTCCCAGACTCCACGACATCACCTCCTGTTGTACTGTCTACTCCTGAGTCTTCTAGCAAGACTGCCTCCTTCCAACCCGCCAAGACTGAGGACATACTCCAGGCAGACCTGGCATGGTGGATCTTCCCCACATGTCACCCTCTGGGAGACTCAGTTTTGTCTTCACAATTGTGACCATTGCTCAGGCTGCAAAGAAGCCCTTCCCATTCAGAGAGGGCACAAGGTCATTACCATCCTGTTTCAAATCCTTTTTCAGTCTGGCTGGCCTTCCTCTTTGCAACTGGTGATGGACCTGCTTTCCTTTCTAAGGTTAACCTGCCCTGTTCCAGATTGTTTTTGCCTGCTGTCTTTATTTTGACAAGAAATCCCTTAGCAGTGTGGTAGCACAGGCTTATAATCCCTAGGTACTTGGGATGCTGAAGTAGGAGGACCAGGAGTTTGAGGTGGCCTGGGATACTTAGGAAGACCGTATCTCAAAACAAAAACCAAATCAAACCAAACCATCACTATGAACAACCCCCCAAATCTAGCAGTCAGATGCTCACTGTGGCAGCAGCCAGAAGCAGCACACCCAACTTGCCACTGGGGCGGGGAAGTGGAAGCAGGTGGGTGGTGTCAGCTTTGAAGATCAGAAGCCAGCTAAAACAAGGGCGAAATGAGCCACAGGAAGGGCCCAAGAGCTTGGTGCTAAGCAAGTTACCCAGCATCCTTAAGGCTCCTCAACCCCCAGGAAGTGGGCCTCTACCATGTCCCCTTCTCCCTTCTCTTTCCCCCAGGAAGTGGGCCTCTACCATGTCCCCTTCTTCCTTCTCTTTCCTGTCACCTCTTGTGACGCTTGGTTCTGGGTACTGCCACTTGGGTGGTTGTCTCTAGAGCCGGATCCTGGGGCTGTTTGTGTGGCACCTCCTTCTCACAAGGCTGAAATAGCACCACGTTCCTACTACTCAATCTTTCAAGGCCTTTCCCGGGCAGACACCTTCCTTAGCACCCATCGTTCCCTCAGAGTAGGAAACGGCACAGTCCGAGGCCCTGCTTTCTCTACCTGGCCTCCTCGAAGTGATGTCGATGAACAACATAAAGATGCCCAGATTGGGGAGCCGAGCCGTACCTGCAGTGCAGGGCTGCGTCACTCTGGAGCTGTCTCAGAGCATCAGGGGTGAGAAGCCACATTTCTCCATTTCTTCCTGAGGAAGAATCAGGAATCAGCCAAGAAAGCTGACCCTGAAGGAGTTTGGTGGTTATGGTGGTCACAGTAACAGGCTTCGTTCGTCATGGGAATACAGGGGTGACCGTAAACGAGAGCAATCAGACAGGCTGCACTCGGGGAGAGGTCGTGGATGCTCGGTAATTCACGGCCTAGGTGGAAGCCAGAGGCTGTAATGGAAGCAACAGTTTAACAACACAGCCAGGCGTGGTGGACGTACGCCAGCGTTTCAGATTTCCAACAGACCACTTGCCTGAAGCAGAACCTCTATTTTAAGATCTCACAGTAGGCTGGCATGGTGGTGCACTTGGAAGCTGGAGACAGGAAGACCAGGAGTTCAAGGCCAGCCTCCTCTATCTAGTGAGTTTGAGGTGGGCCTGAGGTAACCAAGGTCATGTTTCAAAAAACCAAAACCAAAACCAAAACCAGAAATTAAAAAAAAAAAAGATTCCCCAAATGATTCATAGTGTAATTAAGAACTATCTCCTGAAAGGATGACTCAGTTTCAATGGCTTTTTCTACTTAATAGCTGAACTCTCGGGCAGAATCCTTCCCTGGCATTAGAAGCAGAGTGGTTCTATGCAGCCTGCGGAGGACAGGCTGATCTGAACATCTGTGAACCCCCAGATCCTAAGACTCTGGATGTTTCTGGATGTACATTCATGGGAACCAACGAGATCAGCTTCTAAGGGCCAGATAGTGTGGCACATGGAGTACACGTGAGGATCTGTGGATGGGACACCTGCAAACATCAAGGCTTGTATGCTCAGTCTGCATGGTTCACATGCCCAGCCCAACCTCCAAGGCACAAGCCAGTCCAGGAAGCTTCAATAAAGTCCCAGGCCTGTCAAAACATGTACAGCACAGACCTTGTTTTCAAGGCTGTATATTCAGACCCATGATCTTTTTTTTTTTTTTTTTATTTTTTTTATTTTTTTGAGACAGGGCTTCTCTGTGTAGTTTTGGTGCCTGTCCTGGGTCTGGTTCTGTAGACCAGGCTGGCCTCAAATTTACAGATATCCAGATGGCTCTGCCTCCTGAGTGCTGGGATTAAAAGCGTGGGCTACCACCGTCCGGCTTCAGACCCCATGATCTTAAAACCCATTTCTGTGGGCCTTCATGGCTGACTCCTGTGGTGAGACTGTCATGCTTTTATCTTGGATTGGGCTCCTAGACTTGCTGAGGAATGCACCTTTTAGCCCATTTGAAACTCTCTCCAGCTAGTCTTTTGTTTGTTTTTTAAGGAAAGAAACTGCTCCTAGAAAGCTGGGAGGTTTTTCTACACGGAAAATAAGCATGTTTTGAAAGTGGGTAGATGAGGTATGAGACACTTGTGTTCAAAGCCTTTTATCTGAAGATCCCAATCCTCTAACCTAGAAAAGAAGAGACAGGTGCATGTGAGGATTAAAGCTATGAGCTAGCCTCACCATGGCATGTTAGGTCTGTCTTTGGGATCTGCATTGGTGAACAAGGAATACTGTAGTGTTTTTACAGTTCCAAGACTGATCCAAAACTCACATCAACATGTGAGTGAAGCTGCCTAGGACCACAGCTGTCAGGTCCCCAGGGAGGCAGCCACTGTGGATCTTGGCAAGACTAGGAGGCTTTGCTGAGATGAAAACTGGAAAGGCCAGAGTCTGAAGGGTGAGCTGACTCACTAGGTCACACCAGCCACAGCAGGGACGGAGCAGGGAATGGTGAACTGAGAAACTCATGCCTGCCAGTGTGCTCTGTATGAGGCCTTGGTCACGTTTACCAGTAAGAAAAACAGGACCCAGGCGATCAGCAAGTGCTACTTGAAAAAGAAGTCCATCTTTAGGACTGGAACAACAGCTGTCCAGCAGCCAGTCTGTCTGTCTCCATCAAGAGTATGGGTGGGCCAGGGCAAGGGAGGCCCTGTCATTGGGAACAGCATGAGTCCTGTTCAAAGGTGATGCAAGAACATGTCAGTGTTGTAAGCTCAATCACAGAAACAGCAACTGCCAATCCAGGCAGGCAGCTAGTGCCCTTTTCTCAACTGACCAGCCAGCTGTCAAAAACATGGATGCCTGGAATCCCCAGGGACTCATTTCACTGTTTTCTTTCACGATTCTTACAAGTACCAAACTTGGGGACACTGTTAGTATTCAAATTACCACTATCTAACTCTGCCTGGTCAGGGCCAGGTCACACTGCCCACATCTGGGTCCTGAATCACAAGGAACCCACACCCCAGGGCTGACACTGCATGCCAGGCACCTGGTCAAACCTCCTTTGATGGGTGGAGGCAAAGACCTGAGTTCAATTACCACCGCCCCTGAGCAGACATCCACAGTGCATGTCCCACAGCCTATCCTTTTTGATCAGGGTAAAAGCTCTGCATTCTTCGGATCCTGTCAAACCTCTGAGGGCGCTACTTTGTATACTAGAAAGGCAGCTGCAAAGACCACAGACACTTTAATTTACATAAAATTATCTCACTCCATTTTATTTAAGATTTTTTTATCCAGTTAGTAAAAGAAAGATGTGTCTCTCTTTATACATATGTACAAGTTCAGCTATAAAAATAGACAGCACATTCAAAGAGAAAAGGCTTGGCATTTTCTGATCCCCTCTAAAGAGCATCTGTACACAGGAGTCAGGGTTTGGGTAGGGAATCCTTATGATTTAAATTAAATGATTTCCCTACACCTACCTCAAAAAAAAAAATTAAAAAAATCAATCTATCTAAACTCAATTCCGCGATTTTCAGGTGTGCAAATTAGAGGCTGGCCCTCCAGAAGCACCTGCTCCACCAGGGACATCAGGTGGAAAGCCCTTCCGGCCGCCCCTTCCCCTCTCAGAGGGCAGCAAGCTCAGGCGAGCGGGGCTGGGCTGGGAGGGTGGTGCTGAGCTTGCCGCCCCCCATCCTGCTGTCCCTCTCTCAGTGCAGTGCAGACAGTGCATAGAGCCAAGCAGGGCTGACGGGCAAGGCCAGGGAGACTGTGCATTCAGGACGGACAAGGGGCAGCATCTGCAAGATGGGGAGCATGTCCTGCTGACCGAGGTGGCTCCTGGTCTCTTTACTGGCTTCTGAGAAGTCCCTTGAGTGGGGGCTGCTGCTACTGTTGCTGGTGGGACCCAAAGCTTCCCTGGTGTGAATGTGCTGGACAGAGGAGGAAGCTGGGACTGCCCGTGGGTCACCCTTGGAGCCACCGTCTTCCCTGGCCTCCACTGCACATTTCAGTGAGGACACTGTGGCAAACGGGGTTTAGAGACTCGGGAGCGCCCAGACTGCAGACAGCAGGGAACCATTTCCTTTCTTTCTAGCCCTGTAGGAAATCGTAACCTTTAGAGAGGTCTCCACTATGGAAGGCTCTTCCCAGCACCGGTGGAACCTTCATGAGGGCCGTGGTCAGAGCTGAAGAGTGGGCTGGGGGTGGAGACCGTGTGCCTGAGCATCTACAAGGGGTCTAGGTCAGGCCCTCCCCGGAAAGAGGTTAAGACTCGGCTGCAGAGTTCATCTGGGATGCTGTGGGGCCGAACCCAGGACCCTCCTTTGGAAACAGGTGATCAAAGTGCTCACACCGACCACCTGCCTGTCCTCTTCTGCTGCAGCTCGTCTTTCCCACTCTCCAAACAGGATGCAAGATGCCACACTGGGTAAGCCATCCAAAGACCACCTGTGGCCCGGGACTGTGGCCCCCGGTTTGGTTGAAGGAAGCTAGAGGGCAGAGATGTTACCGTCCTCCGGCAGGGTGGGTGCCTTTGCCCTGTTTCCGGATCAGGGAGTCTGAGGCTAGGCTGCTGGTCACATGAAGGCTCTTAGGAGTCCCAGGAATATTATTTCCTTTGTTCAAAGGGGAACTTAAGGGAGAAGAGGCGCTTGAAGGTCCAAAGTCTGGAAGGCCAGCAGGTCGGACAATGGATGTCTGCAGAGGACTGCTTGCGGAGATTCCTGTGGGGATGGAGAAATCACAGTGACCCTTAGTGGCAGCTGCCGGTGACCTGCCCTGGCAGTCTGCAGTACCGGTCTAAGTGTGAGCTGGAGGAAAGGGGTGGGGATCCTGCTCTGCTGCTCTTTGTCGACATCTTTGAGGTGCATTTGCCTGTCTGTAAGATGGCTGGGCTAAGATATGGTGACACACTCAGCCCTACCTGCATGACCTCACCCGAGAGGAAGATGCTCTCTTCAGACTCTGGAGAGGGCATGTGTCCAGGGTAGGAGGCCTGCTTACAGGATGAAAGCTCTAACTCACTAGGCACTAATGTTTTGTTGTCTTCTTTGGAAAGCACCTGAGTTTAGAGGCCTTTTGTTTGGTTTTGAGAAAGGGTTTCTTGTGTAACAATCCTGGCTCAGAGATCCGCCTGTTCCTGCCTCCCGAGGGCTGGAATTACAAGTGTGTGTCACCACTGCCCAGCTTCTGCTTTCTTATTTCAGAGGCCTCTGCTCTTCAACAGTCTGGCCAGGGAACACAAGGTAACCTAGCCTAGCTTGTGTCTATATCCAGTCAATCCCCTGGCACCAGCCAAAGCTACCTCTGTTCTCCAAGCTCTGTCATGTCAAGGACTTGGGTTAACCTCTCATCTTAGGTGACTGCTCTCTGGACAATGAACGTTCCCTTTTCTACCATGAGACAAATGCACCTCTTTCTCGTAACTCCCCATTGTCTGGCATGTTTGTTCTGCTGGTTTACTTCTTTTCCTGGTCTTGTCATACTTGCTATGTAGCAGAGGATAACCTCAAACTTTCGATTCTCCCAAGTACTGGAAGTGCAGGTGTGTACCACCATGCCTGGTTACGTTTCTTCTGCATTACTTGGTGGGCAGACAGACCTCTGTCCACCCACAGTGGTACTACCGGTCACTTCTGGACCGGTCCTTCTCCTTCTTCATTCCCAGCTAGCAGTGTCTGTTGACTGTTCTGGCCAGTCTATCTCCTTATCCTGTCTCCTCCCGCCGGCTTCTCTGATGTGTATCACACTGCCCCATCCATGGATGAGCCCTGTCATATCGACAGGCTTTAATTACTGGAGAGACTGCTCTTTTCCAAGGATACAAAGGAGCTAGCAAAGGATTAAGAAACACCAGGGTAGGCTACTGTACTTATTTCCTTAATAAACCAATAAATGAATCTGGAGGCTCCTGCAGTGGGAGAAAGGAGGTGAACCAACTTTTACTGAGCACTCACAATAGGCCAAGCACTTTCTATACAAGCATGCCTTCCCCTGCTCTAACAATCCAGAAGTCTGAGGTCACCATTGTCTGCATCATGAGAACAAGGCAAGCCTCAGATATACGCTACTCTAACAAGTGGACCCAAAAAAACCTATGAGCTACGCTAAGCCCACATGAGATATTTGTTTATAGCAGGGCGTCACTATGTAGCCCTGGCTGGTCTAGAACCCGCCTCTCTCTGGGTGCTGAGACTATGAATGTGTGCCACCACATCTGGCTGAGGTCAGGCTTTGCCCAGGGGTGGGGGTGGGGGTGGGGGGGCAGCTCTGTCAATTCCTCCTCACAGCACTTGGACGGCTTGCATTCTGACTCCGATCTCCAGCTGTCCACAGGCCTTCCCCACACACCTGTGAAGCTCCTATCCATCAGGTCTCGCCATGTCTTTCCAGCCTTGACTTTCATTGCTCCTCCTCAGCATAACTTGGCTGATATGCTCAGTGAACCTCAACATGCCACCATGGTTGCCAACTCTTACGTTTGCCTGAATCCTTTCTCACTCACGTTCTCCTCCATTCTGAATGATACCCACAATCCTTAGAGCAGGTCCACGGTTCCTGCCCCTTCTGACCTGTAACCACAAGGAAGCTGCTTCTTTTGGGGCTTGCTCCACTCAAGAACAGGGCTAGGAGCTTATGGCTCT